ATATTCACTTGCCCTTTATGGTATCTACTTGGTCCCTACCTCCACCCCCCCCCCCCAAAAGAAACATTAATGCGCTGCTGGTGGGGATATAAATTGGTTCAATCACTATGGCTAACAGTATGAAGAGTCCTTAAAAAGACTAAAAATATAACTATACATAATACATCAATTACCATTTATGGGAATTTATCTGAAAGAAATTAAATTCCTGGGGCAGAGAGATAGTACAGTGTAAGGCACTTGCTTTGCATGCAGCTGATGCAAGTTTGATCCCTGGCACCACATATGGACTCCACCAGAAATGATTCTTGAGAGCAGAGTTAGGAGTAAGCCTTGAGCACTGCTGGGTGTGGCCCCCAAACCAAAACCAACCAACTAAACAAAAAAAAGAAAAATAAAGAAAGAATAAAAGAATGAAAAAATGGGCTGGAGAGATAGCACAGAGGGTAGGGCATTTGCCTTGCAAGCGGCCGACCTGGGTTCGATTCCCAGCATCCCATATGGTCCCCTGAGCACCGCCAGGAGTGACTCCTGAGTGCAGAGCCAGGAGTGACCTCTGTGCATTGCCGGGTGTGACCCCCCCCCCAAAAAAAGCAAAAAAAAAATTAAAAACTTAATGAAAAAATGAAAGAAAGAATCTCGAAGAGATATCTGTACCCTTATATTCATGGTAGCATTATTCACAATAGGCAAAAACATGGAAACATCTTCACTGTCTGATGTCAGATGGATAAAAAACATTCCAATATACATAACGGAATACTTTCTTTAGCAACAAGATGAAAATCCTGCTATCTGTAATAATATGGGTGGAAGCTGAAGGCATTCAGTGATATGCAGTAAACCAAAGACAAATACTGTCTAATTTCACTCACATGAGAAATTATAAAGAAAAATATCACTGAAATAAAGTAGCATTACGAGGGTCTAAGTTTTGAAAAAAGGGAGAGAAGATGGCTAACAGTGACAAAGTTACTTTATGGACATCAAATTCCAGCATCTTGACTAGAATTAACCATACTGTTGAAAGTTGTTATCCTTTTTTACCTTTATTTATACTGTGAACTTTTTCTTTTCTTTTTCTATTTTTGCAGTGCTGTGGATAGCCAGGCCTCACACATTAAAGGCAAGTGCTCCAAGGAGCTACATCCACATCCCTACACTACTTTTTTTTAAATAATTACAAACATTTGTATATATTACATTAATTTTCACCACTAAAGGTTGAATTCCATTTTTATCATAAACATGACCGATTTTACCTTCATTCATACTTCCCCTGCTGATTTTATACCCTAAAATTTTACTTTAATTTTATTTAGTTAAATGATTTTTTTTATGCCCCACACAAGGGGAATCATATAGTGGTAGCTTTTCCTCATTTGATTTATTTCGGTAAACATAACAGCCTCTAGGTCTATCCATCCATGTTGTTGTAAATGTTAAGGTTTCATTTTTATTAAAAATAGCTGGGGCTGGAGCGATAGCACAGTGGGTAGAACATTTGCCTTGCAAGTGGCGAACCCGGTTTCGATTCCCAGCATCCCATATTGTCCCCTGAGTACTGCCAGGCGTTAATTCCTGAGTGCATGAGCCAGGAGTAACCCCACTGCATTGCTGGGTGTGACCCTCCCCCTAAAAAAGCTGAGAAGTAGCATTTAACTATGTACATATACCACCACCTTTCTATTTTAAAATTTATTTTTGGGACATCACTATACCCACCAGTCTTCAGGGGGCACTCCTGGTTTAATGTTGGGGGTATTTCTCCCTCTTGGTGGTGCTCAGGTGACCACGTGGTGCTAAGGATCGAACCTAGGGCTCTACAAAGCACATTGCAAAGCACACTTTCCAGCCCTTTGAACCATTTTCCAGTCCTATACCACATATTCCTGTTTCAATAATTTCTTGATGGGACCCTTGAGTGTTTCTAACTCCTAGCAGTTGTTCATGATGCTGCAATGAATTAATATTCTTTTTATAAATGTCCAGCATATAATAACTATTAACAGACTTGTATTTTTAATTTTTGAGAAATCCACGTATTGTCTTCCAAATAATAGCGACACCAAATTACATCACCAACAGTATACAATGGTTCCCCTTTTCTCCACATCCTCACATTTGTTACTTCTTGTCTTTTTGTGAATAGCCATTCTCACACTTGTGAGGTGATAGCTCACTGGGGTCTCATTTGCATTTCCCTAAAATAAGTGAGGATGAATATATTTTTATGTGCATTTTAGTCTTTTCTGAGTCATCCTGGAAGAAATGTCTATTCAGGTAAATCTGAATTTTTTTTTCAACACACATATGGACATTTTTAAATTATTTGAGGTTATGGATTAAATAAAACTTTCCTTGACTGAGGATGTGATGTGTTTGGTTATGGGTTTGGTGTCTCGTCTCATGAAGAAAAATAAGTAGCAAAGTAACTTTACTATAAATTTAAATTTAATAATTTAAAAACTTTAAATTAAATAAATTTACTATGATAACCACTCTGTAATAAAGTGTAGCAAATAACCATGTTATATATAACAAAGTTAAAGTTCACAATGCTATTGTTTATCTTAAATCTGGGGGATGGGGAAAATAAAAATATAAAAGCAGGTAGTGGCCCCTCTGTTTCAATAACCCTCCAGGTTACTTGATCCTTAATAGAATTTTAAAACCAGTGCCCTTTGAGTTTGAGAAACAGAATGTAACAATGGTGTACATGGATATGGTCTTAACAATTTTATGCCTATTACATATTAATTTTTGGGGGGAGAGGCATACCTGGCAGTGCTTAGGACAATGGGATTCTGGAAATAGCATCGGAACCTTCCACATACAAAGCATGCATGCACTCAGCCCTTAGAGCTATCTCCTCTGCTCAAAGGTATCAATTATCACCATAATAATCAATGGTTCATATGCAGAATAACTAAACAGATATACATAATAACAGAGAACATCAAATCTATTCTAGAGACTATTTGTTCAGCACATATTTGAGAGAGGGAGATAGATATACGTGATCTGAAGAGAAACCAGAGTATCAGCATATGTCTATTATCTACTATATTGCAGGCATATTTCTCTATATGTAAGTATACATAGTATACATTGTAATATACTAGGTGCTAGGTATACTAAAGTGAGTGAGACATTTACCTACCAAAAGAACCCTAAAAATTTTTAATGCAATTTAGTGCAATAACAGCAATGACAGAAATTCTATGGAAACATATAGTAGAGCCACTCATGAGTTAAAGGAGGTTGGCCAATGGTGGGACCAGCTTTTAAAGGAGGAACAAGAGTTAGATACACTGGGTTTCCTCAGTTTCTTACGGGACAAGTGGAAGGAATGACAGAAAGAAGATAGTAGTTCAAATGATGAATTTAAGGTGGGAAATTAGGGGATGAGTTTGAGATAAAGTACACTGAATCAGGGGCTGGAGCAATAGCACAGCGGGTAGGGCATTTGCCTTGCACGCAGCTGACCTAAGTTTGATTCCCAGCATCCCATATGGTCCCCCAAGCACCGTCAGGAGTAATTCCTGAGTGCATGAACCAGAAGTAACTCCTGTGTATCGCCAGTTGTGACCCAAAAAGCAAAAAAAAAAAGTACAATGAATCAATAGGAAAGGGGAAGAAGATTTAGGTCCCCCTAATTTCTTCTTCATGGCAATTGGATAGGTATGAGTATTACTGTTTATCCAGAGAGAGAATACAGGAAGTAAAATATGTATCATGTCATGTGCTTCTCAATTGCTCTGCAAAAACTGTTTAGCTTATCACCTTCCCACACAAGAACAAAAGAACACCATAAAAGTTGGTCGGAACAATTTTTAAACAACCCTTGCATTACACTTAATCATGCTTTCCTTTATCTTCACTGAATTTTTGTTAGCAAAGTTATGAGAACAAAATTGACTTGGAGCAAATAGATAATGGCACTGTGATAGGAAGAACAGCCCACATATTCTTAGGTGTCGTAAGATTCTGTTATAATCTAGGGAATTTCCACAATGAAAATGCAAGAAATACAAGATATCTGCCTTCATAATAGCAGTATTCCTCTCAATGTCTCCAAAAATGTGATCTACTACACTGATAAGTCTACAAAGAACAAAGGCTTATGACACAGGAAACAGAAACTTCCTAGAGTTATTTTAACAATAAGATCTTCTGATTTTATGCCAAAATGAGAGTTGAGAAAAATCGTTCAAAATTTTAATTATATTTTCCTAACTGAGGTAAAATTAGATAAAAAGAGTGTTAATCACAATGTTAACACCACACTAAACCCATCAAGAAAGTGCTAATATCCTTCTACCACAGTGCACTAAAAATATGGAAAAGTTCAACATTAAAAGTCTGGTGGGGGGGTTCTAAGAAAAGAAGTGACAATATTTCCTAAAATTTCTTGACTAGTATGACATTAACATCATGCATTCGTGGTTTGCATGGATTCTGAATAATATTCAATTTTAGTTTTTGTGGTTTGTTCATTCATGGCATATAATCAACAGGTGGCAGCAAATACAATCCTTAAATATAGTTTCTGATCGTGCAAAATATGGGGTAGGGAGAAGTTTTGTATAAACCAAGCATTTAGAAACTGAATTATATATTGTTATTTCTAAGAAACCTTTATCTGAAATTTTTGTTATTCTGTGAACTACAACATCTTCAAAGGTTTAAATCATCTATTTAGGCTCCATATGTCAGGAAGCAGATAGTAAATGCATTCTAGAGAAGTTTTCCAATAAACCTTTTTCTTCTGACAATAATGCCTTCCTGATGCCTTTCATGTTTCAGGTATACTTAAATAAATGTTTGTTAAATTGAAGTAGAGGTGCATTCTTATTGCATCATTGTTCATGGAAAATAAACTTGAATGTGTTAATGGATGAATGGAAGACATGCTAAAATCACAACTATCCTGTAGAGTACATAATCCACAATGGAACAGTTGCTGAGCACTCATTGACTCCCAGCTTGGTGCTTACTTGTTAACTGCACATGTTCCTCCACAGGTGGTTCATCTGTCCCTTGAACTGAAGCATATCCAGATGATGCAGTCTCACTGCGATTATCCTCCTCATGAGGAGAGGCACTGTTGGATGCTTCATTGGACACAGGGACCTGCAGAGACACTGATCCATCCTCAACATCCACCTATGGAAAAGATTTGAACAAAATAAAAAATTCTCAGAGTACGTGCTTTTCTTGAAATAGCATTACATAATTACTTTATAGGTAACTTATTAGAGCAATATTTAACTGGTTTATTTTGGTGGGCTGGGGGAGAAGTTTGGGCCACATCCAGATGTGCTCAAGGCTACTCCTGCCTCTGTATCCAGGTATCACTCCAGGTAGGCTCAGGGGACCATATGAGGTGCCAAGTATTGAATATTGGCCTGTCATGTGCAAGGCAAGTTTCTTGCACTACAACTCCTACTCCCTGTTTATTTATTGTTTTTATTTTTGGACCATAACCAGCTGTGCTCAGGATCTGCTCTCAGGGATTACTCCTGGATGCCTCAGTGAACCATCATGCCAGATATCAAACCCAGGTCAACTTTGTGCAAGACAAGCACCCTTCTCATGTACTATCTCTCTTAACCATTTGAACCTATATAAAATCCCTTTTGATGAGAACAAAATGTCTTGCTGGTCCCAAAGAGGGCAGATCAAATAACTAGATCCATTAATGAGATGGAAGGTCCTAGAGGCAGAAAATTTTGACATCTGACATATTTCTCTGGGTGATCCTAGCACTTTATAAAAAGTGTCTAGAATAATGAAGTCATTCAAAAAATTTCTTGCCATCCCCAAGAGAACTGAGAATTTCTGCAATCTATATATCTCCTCAAATCTGGGAGATTTTGATGAGATAAACTTTCTGTGTGTACTGTGAGGTAGCAAGTAGGTATTCATTTAACCAAATATAATTCTGAATTTGGATTTATCATACTTGCTCAAACTATACTCATTCAACTAACAGTTTGGTTGCTATGCAAAAGTAGGAAAGTAAAATATAGGGATATCAAAGTCCATTTGGTAGATTACTGGCAATCACTTGAAAGAAAAAGTACATTTGAAGAGAAGGAGGAAGAAGGAAAATGTAGGTGGTTCACCATGGCACCTATCACTATACTATGCCAATGTCACTATATGCTTAACCCATTACATGTCTAAAAAAAACTAAGGATATTATGTTCCGATCCAGTTACATAAATAATACACTGATTAATTTCCCATCTATAAACTCTTAGCAATGCTCACCTCAATTCCCAAAGCTTTGAGAATGTCACATTTGCACATGGGGCAAGTCCTGTGTTCCAGCAGCCATGGGTCAACACACGTCTTATGGAATATATGGCTAATAAAAGGGAAAAATCCACATAATTCAGTTATCAGTTATGGAAGTGCAACAATTTTCCCAATACACTAACAGGTCACTCTGTAATTTTGCTTAAGTTATCTATCAGATGCCTCCTTTAAACAAGCTATGGCAATATTAACACTGGAGAGGACTCACAGAAAGAACATTGAAAATTTTATAACACGATTTTTTAAAATACAAAAAGCAGACTGAAAAGATAGTATAAAGCTGGGGACAGGATAAAGTGCTTGCCTGCATGAGGCTGACCCTAGTTCAATCTCCTGCATTATGCACGGTTCACAGTGCTCTGTAAGGAGTGAGCCCTGAGCACAAAGCCAGGGGTAAGTGCTGAGTACTTCAGGGAGTGGCACCACACTTCTCCATTATGATATTATAGAATATTGTATATACACAAATATATAATATATAATACTATATATATATATAAAGCCTCATTACTCTGGCTTCAAAAGATGTTTTCAATACTCATTACTTTTGTAAAAAATAGCTAATATATTCCCAGATCTAACACTTAGTTCAGTATTTAAAATCTCAAAGACCTATAATTACATATAAAATGGTGGTATGGTTAGCCAATAATTTTCAATAATATAGTACAATATTGCACTGAATATTAACATCGTGCTGAAACTTCAGAAATGCGATGCATTCTGAAGGGTCGGAGAGATTGTGCAGGGGTCAAGGTACTAACTGTGCCTGCAGCCGATCCTAGTTAAATCTCCAGCACTTCATATGGTCCACCAAGAATTGTAAGAAATCATTTCTGGCCACAGAGTCAGAAGTAGCCCCTGGACACTGCCCAGTGTGGCTAAACCCTCTCCAGACAGCCCCAATGTGATGCATTCTTAGAACATCAGTACTGACTAAATGAATGAGTTTTTCAGGGTAGCTGAGGTCATTCAATGGGCTGGAGTGCATGCTTGGGATGGAAGGAACTGAGTGTGATCACGACCACCAAATTCAGTGGGTGCAGTGCTGGTAGGTGTGAAGCATCAGCATTGATGTGGCCCTGGCGATCCAGCACTGCTAGGTCTGTGCAGCACCACATCACTGTACCAAGTACCAAATCATCCAGTCCACATCTAGGCCAAGGGATAGAATGACTCCAGGGCCCCACCAGCTGAATAATGAGTGTTCAAAATTGACTTTTAGGATTGGAAATATAGTCCAGAAACTAAAGGCCCTTGCCTAGCATGTGGCTCCAGTTATGAACCTGATTTGAATCCTTGGTACCACATACGGTAACCCCAAACTTCATCAGACATGACCTCTGATGACAGAGCCAGGGATGGACCTGAATACTTCTGGATATGCCCCTCTCCTGAAATGTGACTTTCAATAGAGGAAAAATAAAACACCCAGGAAGAAAGATATCACAATAGGTATGCATATGCTGATTTTTATTTTTTTTGATGTCATCCAGCTGTACTCAGGGTTTACTCCTGTGCTTAGGGATCAATCCTGGCAGGGCTTGGGGGATTATATGTGACTGTAGAAATTGAATTCAGTTTGACTGCATGGAAGGAAAGCACCTACCACCATTTAGCAGGGTATGTGGGGGGACTTTCATTATCTCAATGGCATCCTTTTAGAGAGCTGGGGCTTGGGGCCACATCTAGTGATGCGTGTGGCTTACTACTGGCTCTAAATTCATGTATCACCCCTGTCAGTGCTGGAGGAGGAACGATTTGTGATGCTGAGGATGAAACCATCCTCAGTTGGCTGCATGCAAAGCAAGTGCCTTGCCCCATGTACTAGCTCTCTGCCCTCCAATAGAATTTTTAGAATGAATTTAAATAACTTAGTTCCAAACTGCACCAGATTGTGGAAATCTTATATGTTAATCCTATAACAATTTCAATAATAGAAAATAAAGTACTCTCCAATAAAGTAAAAAGTAGAAATAAATACTTATTAAAGAACTGCTGCACTGCATAAGGTATTAAGGGTTAAACCTAGAACTTAACACAGGCAAGACATGCAATGCTTGCTCTATCACAAGAGCTACATTCCAAGCTACTCATATAAATACTTTCTTTCCATCAGTTTGGAAATATTCAAAGTAGTTATTTCCCACTACAATCACTTTTTTGGTAAATGAGCAATTTTTATTGGTGCAAAAGAAAATCAAACTTACTTGCAGGTTAAAATGCGCACTAAGTCATTTGGCTTATACAGTTCAATGCACACAGCACAGCTATCTCCATCAGGGCCAATTTCCTATGAACAAATAATATTTGTTACTCTGTTGACTATGGAAAATATGTAAAAATGCAGAGCAAGATGGAAATAAGCGTGAACTTAAATTTCTTTAGAAGAAGCATCATATTTTGAAATGACTACATTGAAAAAATAATTTAAATTTATTTAAACTTAATTGAAATCTCTTTAAAGGACAAACTCATAGAAATAGTAAAAAAGGTTGTTTCTGGGGACTAAAAAATTAGGGTGAGGTTGATAGAGTATAGAATTTCATTTAGAAGATGAATATGGCATGAGGATATGATATAAGATATAGCAACTAGAGTTGATCACACTGTAATTAAAATTTGAAAAGAAAATTATTTAGACTTAAGGTAAATGAATAAAATCAACTAAGAGGGGAAGAGCACAAAGAGAAGAATTTAGCCCGATTTAAATTGTCTTTTCTCATTTGAGAATTCACATAATTCCATTTGTATAAATTCTATAGGTAGCTTTTCCCATTAAAATGTTTATGGTAAATCTAAATTTCACTTTTTATACAGTTTTGGAAACATGCAGCCATTTAAGTCTCTCTCCACCATGAAGATTTCTATTGCTGCCCTAAATTCCTCAGCACCCCTTTGTTGTGAATTCTTCCTCTTACTCTCTGGAAACCACTAGATACATTTTTAGACCCTACAGTTTGAATTTTTCCAGAACATTCTATTAATGAAAACATCCATTATATATTTCAGGGCTTATTAAACTTTTTCCACTCACAATTCATTTCACCAGAGAAATTCAACATGGGTGAGTACTTCCAGAACCATTTCTAATTCATTACATATTTGATTTTTAATTAATTTTATACCATTTTTACTTAGGCATGGGGATTTAAAAACTTTGTTACTCATACTTTTCATGGATACAACATTCCAAGACAACACCCACCATCAGAGAGCCTGCCTCCCTCCATCAGTGTCCCAGGAACACACCCTCTACCCATGTAGGCTCAGTTCTACAAATACAAATCTTCAGTTCAGATAAACTCAACCATTTGTTGTTCCCGTACTATGTTTCTTTTTATCTCATATTTGAGATAGATATCTCTCTTTTTAAATTGTGGAGATGGTAACACCTTGCTGGAAGGGAGAGGGATCTGCACCCTGTTCCTAAAGGCCTTAGTGTTGTCAGAAAGTGCCTCACAGTTGTTAGCTAAGAGACTGAAATCAATATACCTGGCTGTGTGTGGCAGGGAGCAGATATTAAGGAGATGTGGAGTTGTTTAATTAATTTTCAGACACTGTATATGCAGAAACCTTTTACTGTAGCAAAAGTTTTGCAGCCCCTACTTCTCCACCCCAATAAGTTACTAGAGCGTCATATGTGGTTGTGACCCACAATTTAAGCCAGTATCGACTATTGGGCATGCCTCCTATTTTTCTTTTTGTAGTTCAAGTAACTCCTAAAAAAATTTACTTAAGAGTATAAAATCTTTTATATAATAATGAGTACTTTTGCATAAGGCAAAAATTATTTCTAAGTGAATGAGACTAGATTTGACTTTGGACTTTATTCTTCAAGTTGTAGAGAACAGAGGAAAATAGATTATTTATAGAAAATTCTATTTATATCCTTAGAGTACAATTTAGTGATGGAAGAGACACTAGTAAGCAAATTCTGGCATCTCAGAAGCTGTTGTCAAAGACCTTTATTTTCTTGAATTTTAAGAATGCTTAAGTTCTTTCTTCATCCTCTATTTTGGGTGCCAAATAAAATTCTGAATGTCTCATATTGATGATTTTATATTCTACAGCCAGGGGTACACCTGCAGACATACTGCTATACAGGAAAGAGTGCAGTGGCTTTTATAAAGAGATTCAAGCACCTTAGTGCAATAGTTAGCTGAAGTGGCTCATTACTCTCTACTGTAACAGTTTTCTCCTCTTTAATGATATTACCTGCTTGTGTCTTCCATTTCCAGGTTCTCTATTTGCATAAAAATTCACTTCATCATTTGCACAAAAAATTATCACAGCATCTACAATATGGCTTCCTTTCCTTTTTGTTGGCTTTGGGGCCACACCAGCCAGTGCTCTGAGCTTACTTCTGCCTCTGTCCTCAGGGATCACTCCTGGTGGTACTCAAGGAATCATATTTGGTGCTCAGGGGACCATGAGTTGCTGGACCCCAGAACATCTTCAATATGACTGAGATCTCATTATATGTGTGTAAGCTCAGCAGAATGAATTTCTACTACATAACTGTCCTCAAGTTCCAGAATTCCAACCTGTTCATCTAAATCCATTAACTTTAATTCATATTCAGATTTTTTTCTTGATTTAGAGCTTTGAACTCTAGTGCCAAGGTATCAGCATTACCTTCAGCCCTTTATGAAATGATGTCTTCAATGCCAACATATTTTAGTATTTTGGACATGTTACAGAAATGCACACCCTGGGCTAGGTTGCTGTCACAGTGGAACATGTCAAATCCCTGGGTAGGGTAGAAAAAGCTGCACCAAGATGGGATGGGACAAGTCCAAGCTCTGCAAGTTCACAACACTGAAGCTGATATCCTGGCAGGTCTTGTTAATGAGATACTTATGGACCTTCAGAATCTTTTTCAGGATGGGACCTTGGACCAGGCATGCCTTGAATGTGGTGCAGGATCTCAGTGACAAGGATACAGGTTAGTGAAAAGGAATCTCCAGCTTAAGATTCACAGGGTGAAAGCGAGAAGACTAACACAATAATTGTACCTGAGATGGAGGAAGAACTCAGCCCATGGGGCCTGTAACTGTTTACTAGAGTATTGGGTATGATTTTTTCACTTAATATTGTGCATTTGATATTCACCCATGTTGCCTTTCTAACAAATGAAATACAGTATGTCTTTATGGTTTTAGTAAGCACTTTCCTAGTTGTGAAGAACACTGAGCATATTACATATGCTTTTTGTGCCATCAATTAACTTTCTCCGGTAAAATATCTGCTGTTCCCATTTTTCGCTAGGTTAGCTCCTCAATGCACAACTTTTAGAGTTCCTACATATTCTGGGTATAGTCATTTATTAGATATGTGATTTACAAATGTTTTCTCCCAGTTTATGGTTTGTCCTTTTAGAATTATTAAAGTATATGCAATATTATACTGATCTCACAGATAATCTATAATGAGTCAATATGTGTACTTATTGTGCTTAAATTTAATGAAATTTACGACCATACAATGTTCACTGTATCACTGTTATCCTGTTGCTCATCGATTTACTCGAGCAGGCGCCAGTAATGTCTCCATTCCTTCCAGCCCTGAAATTTTAGCAGCCTCTCTTTACTCGTCTTTCCCAATGCTGATATATTGCAGGCAGTTTCAGGGTCAGGGGAATGTGACCTGTATTGTTACTGTTTTTGGCATATCGAATACACCACAGGGAGGTTGCCAGGCTCTGCCGTGCACCATACAATGTTAGTTTTAAGAATTTATTCTTTGATAATTCTTGAAGTAAAAAAAAATTTCCCTTTAGGAAACTTGATTTTGGTTTACTTTCTGAGTAACTTTTGTCTAACCCAAGATATGACCGTATTTTCCTCTAAAATTTTCTTCTAAAAGTTTCATAGTTTCATGTTTCATATTTAGGTCTTTGATCGATTTTGAATTAATTTTTACAGAGGGTATAAAGTTTTGAGGTTTTTTTTTTATTATGGATAGTCAATCATTGCAAATAGAGAACTAACCACTAGCTATCGTTTTGTCATTGAATTGCCTTTGCTTCTTTGTTGAAATTTTAAAAATAATCCTTCAAATCAGGTAATGTGAGATACCCAAATGTGTTTTTCATCAAAATTGTTCTAGTTATTTCAGTTCCTTTGCTTTTCCTTATACTCTTAACATCAACCTGTCAATCCTAGAAGATTCTAATAGGAATTTCTTTAAAACTTCCCTGAGTCCAGAGATTCATCAGGGGAAAAGTGCAACTCCTTACAGCAGTGAGTCTTCTGACACATGAACCTGGTCAGGGTATAGTGCCACATTTATTTCTGTTTTTAAAATTTCTTCCTTTCACTGGTGTTTTGCAGATTTTAGCACACAAATCTTGTATGTATAAGAGTTACACCTCAATATTTAAAGTTTTGGGCGCTACTAGAATTTACATTTGTATTTCAATATGGTCTGTAGCATTCTGATGTTCCGTGAACCTGAACAGGGTATAGCGCCACGTTTATTTCTGTTTTTAAAATTTCTTCCTTTCCCTGGTGTTTTACAGATTTTTTTGACACACAGATCTCGTATGTATAAGAGTTATATCTCAATATTTAAAGGTTTGGGTACTACTAGACTTTACATTTGTATTTAAATATGTTCTGTAGCATTCTGATGTTCCATATCGATGGTAGTTTTCAACCATCCTGAATCTGAAAATGAATGATCCTAATCAAAACTGTAGTAAAAGACTTCTTGGTTTCCTATTGCAGTTCTAACAAACCACCATCATTTAGTGGCTTAAAATAACTAATTTATTCTCTTATTTTTCTAGACAACAAGTCTAAAAATCAAGTTGTTAGTAGTACCGAATTCATCCTAGAGACTTAGGAGAGAATCCCTTAACTTTTCCAACTTCTAAAGGCTGTGCACATTCCTTGGATTTAGTACTTTATATCACCCCAACATCTTGCTTCCATGGCCACATCTTTTCACTTGCTGTAGTGAAATATTCCTTTTCTTCCTCCCTGTATAATATAGGACAATCTCCCCTCCTCAAGAACCTTAATGACATCTGCAAAGTCCTTTTGTGCCATATAAGGCAACATTCCAGGGATTAGGACATTATTATCTTTCTTGTAGGGTGGTGGTGGTGGTCATTATTCAGCCTATATTCTGCACAACACATATAAAACTGTCAGTAAGATTTATAAATTTCAATAAAAAGCAAACTTTGGGAGAACAGTTTTAACAACAGCTTGGTGTGTTTCTTTAAACCAAGTAGTATTTTAAGAAAATCATAATTGCACCTTGTCTCCTTGTTTCAGGGTACGCAGCTGAAGCCTTCCAATAGCCTTTTTAGCATCTGCCTTTAATTGTCTCTGTAATAAAAAGGATAACAGGTATTAGAAAAAACAAGTTTCAAGAGAAATTTGATGAAAAAGGTAGAAGAAGTTAAGAAGAGTAATAAATATTTATCATGCAAAAGTCAAGAATTGCAAACCACAATGCTCAAAAGTAGAGAGAGTATGAGGGAAATTGTCTGCCATAGAGGCAGAGGGAGGGTTGGGTGGGGGGTGGCATACTGGGTACATTGGTGGTGGAAAATGTACGCTGGTGGAGGGATGGGTGTTTGATCACTGTATGACTGAAACTCAAATATAAAAGCTTTGTAACTGTATCTCATGGTGATTCAATAAAAAAGTTTTAAGTGAATATAGCAACGATTTTTATCCTATTTTTTCTTCTATTTTAGCTTTTGGGGTCAAAACCAATGGTACTTAAGGGTTCTTCCTGGCTATGTGCTCAGGGATTGCTTTTGGCAGTGTTTGCAGGACCACGTGGCACTGTGAATCAAGTCTGGGCCTCCTGTATGGAAAGCATGCATTCAGCCCATGGATGACCCCTCTGGTTCTATAGATGAATTTTAAAAGACAGCCTTAGGAATGAAGAGATTGCTCAATAGTAGAATACATGCTTCATAAGTATCAGGCCCTGGGTTCTGTCACTGTCACTGCAAAAAAGGTAACATTTACCCCATTTCTTTTTGATCAGGAAGTTTCTCAGATTAATAAAAAGTTTTTCTGTATTATGTTTGCATACCTTCTTAAATAACAACTTTGGACAATAATGGCAAGAGCACATATTTCTACTCCATATGGATTCTCATGCTATTATTTTTTTTGTTTTGGGGTCACACCTGGATGTGCTGAGGATTTACGTCTTACTCTGGCTCAGAGACCACTCCTGGTAGGCTTGGGGAACCATGTGGATTCCAGGGACTGAATTCAGGTCAGCCACATGCAAGGTTAAACACCCTACCTGCTGTACTATTGCACTAGCCCGATAATACCAATTTTTAAGAAGCTTTTCTCAGTAAAAAATTCAGTAAATGAAAACATACGTGATTCAATAAGCATAATGAGTTCATGTGATATGTGTTTAAATATCTGTGGCAAATACATATAGCAATTAAATAATTTATGTATATACATAGGTGTTTAGGGAAAACTCCTGAATGCCCAAACTTACTATTACGTAGTTATCTTTCTATGAAAGATGTATGGTTTAATGCCAAGTTTATTAGATAAACTACTGCACTGCTACCACAGAAAAGGATAAACTTCTATTGCTTCCTAACCAGCAAATAACAGCAGTTAGTGTAATTAACATAGCTGCTATTGTAGCCTAGCCCTTAGCAGGAAAGATGTGTTAACCAATGCCCTTTCATTCTCACTTTGGATTTAATTGTAAATTTGCACATAACAAAATTCTTTAAGGGTACTTCATTTTGAGCACAAATACTGTCCCTTCAGTTTTGTTACTTGCCATACTAATAACAGAGTGACAGTGAAACAAAGTATACCCAGGGCCTTTAGAGCTGATGCCCCAAAAGGAAGAAAGCTTTGCTCAAAATCTCAGAGTTGGTTGGTGTTGGTAATACCAAAGTTCAGGGCAAAGTATTCTTTTTCTTGATATCAAGGTAGTCTTCTTTCTTGAGTGTAGCTTTGGAGCATAAAGTCAATATAATTACTTTCCTCTATTTCTATTTTATAATTCAGTTACCTTTTCTATTTCTTTGAGGTGAAATTGGTTTATAGTAGCGTTTAGGTTTTAGGAAAACAGCCTAACACCTCTTGAAATATTTTGGGGGGGAGGTACCTTAGGTTACACCTAAGCACCTTAGGCCTATTTCTGGCCCTATGCCCAGGAAAAACTAGTGGTGCTCAGCAGATCTTATTGGGTAAGATCAAGGTTGGCAATATAATGTTCTATCAGCTGTTATTGCTCTCTGATCCAGTATCTATTCTCTTAATGGTCATAAGATTTTCCTTAAGGATATAATATTCCCTTTTCAAAGATAAGCAAGTGGAGTCTTTGAAAAATGTCACGTGACCATCCAAAAGAGCATGGAGTCTCTCCCTGATGGCACCTGTGCTAGAACTCTGCTTTTCATATTCTAAAGTTCTATAATATGAATATCTGTTACTCAACTTCCATCTGAAGTTCTTCCAACCCTTGAGTTTTAGGGTCAGATAAACTGGGGTCAGTTAGTACAGTCAACAACCAGTATGCCCACAATATTCCGGCCCTGAGATCTTTCCATAGAACAGGAGCTATATAGGTACCAAAATGAGAAAAAAAAAATCAAATGGTGAGAAAAACTGATCCAAGAAGAGCAAATGGGGTAAGAAAAAAAAGCAGTTGATGATAAGCCTGGTAAGTCTTTGACAGTCATTTTATACATTCTAAAGAAATCTTTAGACCACTTCTGATTTGGGTTATAGCAACAAGCTCTTCAACAGTTGTGGAAATGCTCTCATAAGGGGGTGATACATTTCTAAAGTGTTTACCTGATTAAGTCACTAGTCATAACACCTGAGTTTGCAGTGTGAGTGTTTATGGATTAGGCATGAATACTAAATATATTATTTTATGTAACCATGTTCAAGACTAAGGTCAATTAATTTAAGGGATGGTGTCAAAGACAAGCTTTAAATGCAATATCCCAGTCTATGCTGATGAAAAGAGTAGAGGCTACCTGCAAAAGAAAAAAGGTGGGGACTATCCAAAATATACAAGCCATAGAGACAGGCTCAGGGAGTGTGGCAGGAGGGAAAACTGGGGACATTGTTGGTGGGAAATACACACCGTTAGAGGGATCAGTGCTGGGACACTGTATGACTAAAATCCAACCATGAACAGCTTTGTAACTCTGTATCTCATGGTGATTCAATAAAAAAAATACAAGAACATCTAAGATTCCAGAAGATCCGAAGGAAGGCTCTTGATTATGAAGGGCTCCTAAAAATGATCTATTAGGATCAGGGAGGTGGTTCAGTAATAGAACTCAGTCCTGGAATGTATGAGGCCCTCAGTTTCATGCCACCCAACCCCAAAACAAAGAAACAAAAACAACCAGGATGGGGAGAGTGCAGCAGTTAGGGTGCATGCCTAGCATGCATACAATTTCAGTTAGATTATCAGAAGCACAAGGTCCCCCAGGCATCACAGGTGAGGCTCTGAGGACCCTGGAGCATCACTAGTGTATCTCCTGGGTGGGGCCCCTTTATCCTCAGCATCACAGGGTCCCAAGAGCATTGCACCCTGGGGGCCTTGCATAGAACTGCCAGCCTGGTTGGTTAAGAGAAATACCTGTGGGGCCTCTGGGCCTCCTGAGAACCTCCTGGGAGGTTCCTAAAAGGGAAAAAAATATCTAAAAGACTTGAGCATAGCACAAAGCAACGTTTAAAAAAGTAGTCCTAAAATTTAAAAAGTGGTTTAAAAGAAAATTTGAGTATATAACACTTCCATTGAGCTTTATTTTAAAGTATAGAAAAGTCATTTTCTTTCTGGAAAGAGAGAGAGAGAGAGAGAGAGAGAGAGAGAGAGAGAAGAGAGAGAGAGAGAGAAGGGAGAGGGGGCTCAAATAAAGGCCACTCTCAAAACTTCCATTAGTACTCAAAATAATACTATCACACTGATAACTAAGAATTTCCAAGTTGTATTCATTTCTCTAAAGTGAAAATACGGGGCTGGAGAGATAGTACAGCTTGTAGGGTGCTTACCCTGCACATGGCTGACCAAGGTTCTATCCCTGGCATCATAGATGACCCCCTGAGCACTGTCAGGAGTGACTCCTGAGTGCAGAGGCAGGAGTATTCCCCTGAGATTTGCTAGGTGTGTGATCCAAAAAACAGAAAATAAAAATAAATATATGGGGGGTGGGGCATGCAGGGATATGGCTCAAGCGGTAAGGGACATGCCTTTTGCATGTGAAGTCTTGGTTCTATTCCTAAAACTAACTGGACCCTCAAGTACTGCCCGAAGTTGTCCTGGTCCCCGGAGAACTGCCATTTGATGCCTCCACAATAAACTAAGAAAGCATGAGAATAAATTTAAGACTAAGTAGATTATACTAAATATATGTTTAGGTAATAATTTAAACAAGATTTCTGAATGCACATGTCTCAGTATTTAACAATAATATGACCCAGTGCAAACTATAATTATATTTTATATTTCAAGAATCTATATTTACACAAATTATATTGAATATGATTTACTGAAGCCTCTCAACCATATCAGATTTTGCAGCACACTGTTTCCATTTCCTACCATATTTTATAACTATAATATTTATATATTTTCCCTCTTACTCTTTTGTGAGTAGCTGAAAGATGGGGACTTAATTATTTGTATTTAATGTGCCGGTAGTGACCAATTGATTTAGAAAATGAAAATATTTTCATAATTTTCTCATCCAAGTCACAAGTTCAGTCATTAAATCCTGTTTTACTAAGTTTGGAAAAGAATGTTTTAAAACAGCATTTTTAATGGGTATATAGCTCCATGTGAATCTCCAGAATACACCAAGAGGGCCACAAGTTAAAAATTACCTATCTAGGGTCTGATAGCACAAGACTAAGGAGCCAACTGTTAGGACAGAGGATCAAAAGAGGAAGGGGCCACAGTTAGAAAATAGTTGATAAACATTGTTTTAAGGACATATTTTAGATCTGGACAGTGTGTTGGGTTCAACCCTACACTTTTGAAAAATGTCATCTTGGTTAATCATTAACAGCCACATGGAAGAGGCATTTTAATACCCAGGTTTTATAGACAAGAAAGGGTTTAGAAACTTGACTAAAGTCCAGACAGCTGTTAGTTGCAAAGCTGTGATTCAGTTCAAGCCCAGGTTCTATCTGGTTTTAAAGGCCGGATCTTGCCATTATAGTACATTGCCTCTGTTGTGTAACAGCAAAGAAACCTTTAAAAGGTTTAACATTCTTGTAAAGAAGAGAAATGAAAGGAATAAGAAAAAATTCTGTTAGCTATTATAGAATCCTTGAATCCTCTTAAATTGACTACTATGATTGAG